TCCCAAAGTTCAATGTAATAAGTTACTTAATTGTGCATTGTCTGTTCAAAAACCTGTGCAGTACACCTCCCTTTAGATTTCCCATTTCATCTGATTAGTGCTGCTGTAGCGTTTCAAGCATTGCTTTGTTTTGTGTGAAGCAATTTACAACCATCTTTTGAGAAACAACTTTTTGTTGGGATACAAGAGTATCACACTTAGAATTTCTTTTTCAGTTCTTCATTTTTTCTGACTGTTTCTTTTTTAAGTGCTAGTTTCTTTGGCTAAGATGGAATCAAAAGCATAATTCAGATTTTTTTTTCTTCTGTTATTTCAGAGGACATTAAAAATAGATTTCTCTCCTATAAATGTCTATTTAATACCATTTTCTAGCTCAAGTCTGCTATGATGGTACTCATAACGTTTGAGACACCTTCTATAATTACAGAGAGATCAGAAATATTACAGGGACTGCACTTTTGGCCAGAGTGGCTCTAGGGAGACTGGCTCATAGTGGCTTCTAGATTTGGCTTGCTAACTCCTGAGTTGTTGCAATGGCCATCCTGTATAGATCTTTTGCAGAACCCTAGATATAGGACTTTTTAAAAAACATCCAATTTATTTAATTAATTCAGCTACTCTAACTATCACATACTAGATATTACTAGCACACTAGAATGTTACATTGTATTGAAAAAGTTTCAGAATCCGTTTTAATACAGAAATGCAGGACTATGCATTTGGTGGATTTCGCACCTTTTCAATACAAACTTCTCTGGTAACCTGAGGTGTTGCTGTAGCATTAAATAGAAACTTCTTTTATCCACTGTGGAAAGACAGACTGCAAACAGATGACTGCAAATAGATAATCTACAGGTTTAAAATTAGCACAAGTGTAAAAGTCCACCATAAAAATAGTTTGCACAAAGGTAAATGTACAAGTTAGTTTTGCACTCCTCGAAATGCTGAAGGATTAAAATTTCTGCACCACTGTGACTGACAGCCAGCTACTTTGCTGTTGCTTTTCTTATGCAAACTCCATCACTGACTATCTGTAAGAAAATCTTGTGATTCACTTACTGCTCCATTTCCACCGAAGCAGATACCTGGGTTCATAAAACTGTCTGCTATGTAATAATTTCTGCAATATAAGACAAAACCACCATTGAGGTAAATCCATTGCACAACAGGATCCTGGGAGGTACTTAAGAATCTCCTTCCAAACTGCTTAAATCATGACTCTGCCACAAGCATCATATGTTTATAATCTTGTTATGATATTGAGGCCTTATACAGCTGTTTTTTTATAATACTTTTGTAGCCTGTTTAAAGCCATCTGGTGAACGTATTGCCAGGTATACGTGATTTTGTTGTTGTGACTACACACACACCCTTAGCACTCTCATGGTATTTTCTCAGTGTATGACAGTACAATTGAAGTTAAAACATGTCATTATTTATTTGTACATGATGGCTACATATGATGTTCCTGATAGTCACATGTGAGCATTGCTGTTTTAATTTGTCATGTCTTCCCATTCACATCCTGAAAATTACATAAAAATGTTGGATTGGTCTCCAAATAAGCCAAAGATTGATATGCAGCTTTGGATCTCTTCTAATATCATAACTTCTACTGCGCTTTTATAAAGCCCACGTCTTTAACTATGATTCTAATAAGTAGATACAGGAACATATGATTTTTATCTTCTGGTTACTTGGCAAAAAGCTTGCATTTGGAGATCATCTTATTAAAAGACCAATGATATATGGATTAAAAAGATTAGAGGTTTATCTGTATTTTGCCATTTATTAATTAAAGGCCATAATTTGCTTATAGTTTACCTTTTTAATACCATGTTATGATTGGATCACTGTAGTATTAAGAAACTGCAACCAAAACCAAGGCTACGTTACCTTGAATTCTGAAAATCACATAGAAGAAGAAGGAAGCTTCTGCTTGGCAATTGAAATAAAAAAATCCTCAGGGTGCAGGGAGGGAAAAAAGGATCTTTCCTGACTGACTTAATTATTTTTCTGTGGCACAGTGACTTCTTTGAGGTTATAGAAGAATTAAATTTCTGTATTGGTGAGCAGGTGGAAAAAAAACAGAGGATGCTTAATCTACACTTACATGTGCAGATTTTTTTACTGAATTCCTAAGGAAATAAGTCTTCTGTGAGCATGTTTGTGACTTTCTCTCTTTTTATTTTCTCCCTACACATAAATTTTGGCCCAACTGATTAATAAAAACAAATCTGAAAGAGGAATTAAAGTCTTAAATAGGTTTGTCTTTCTATGAATTTTGTGGAAGCAGATGCCAGGAGAAGAAACTATCTGAATGGTCTTGCTACAGTAAAGCTGCAGCTCAAGTTCACATTCACATGACAGAACTACTTATACTCCTAACAATGGGAAAACTTTTAGGATGTCAGGTCAGCTCTCTTCCTATTTTGCCATAAGGCTCTGGAGCACAATCCCAGCTGTCCATGCAATATACACTTGTTCATTTGACACCGATGTAGAGTGAAATAAAGGTGTTCTTGGGGAGAAGCCCTGGTGCAGAAGTGAGGATACTTTTCTGCAGCTTCAGGACTTGCACCCTACAAGACAACGGAGACAAACTGACAGCTGGTTTGCTCAGGGATGGTGTTATTTCTTGGTGAAGTTCATAGCAGCAGCATAGATGTAATGAAAGCAAAACTCACACTTTTTAAACAAAAGATGCTGATCACAGGAAAACTGGGCGTATGTGTAGATGTGTCAGTTAGGGACATGTTTTAGTGATGGAATTATGGTTATTGGTTGGTCTCAAAGGTCTTTTCCAATATAAATGATCCTATGATTCTGATTGTGGAACCATTTGTTTAATGATACTGTTGTTCATAAATACATAAGGTAGGGAGGAGAAATTCTTTGGGGAGGGCTTTGGAAACCTTTCTCTTAAACTGTAAGTTACTGGATTGTTTCTTTCTAGGAAGGAATTGGTACATCTTAAATCTTTGATTTTATGCTAATTTTCCTTCACGCGGTCTGTTTCTGTTGAGAACCTTGACTGTAGTTCTGCAGTGTGTCATGGTAAGCAGCATGTAGCTCAGTGCCATGTGTTAAAGCTGGAAAGTTTCTTCACTTTTTTCCCCCCCCCCCCCCTTGGTTTAAGGCAGCTTGTATTAAATACTTTACCCCTCCCTTTTTTTCTCAGTTGTGTGGTTAGGAATTCTTTTACTACTTGTGTATGCTGTGGTAGTGTTTAATACTAGTTAGACATTTGGCCACCCATGCTTCCCTGAAATCTAATGTTGCCTTTCATTGATGGGGATTTCCTGGGTGCTCACATGCCTTTCTTTTGTATCTTCTCTCCAGATACACATCTTGGGTAATCACAGCAGTTATGTATAAGCTGTGCAGTTTAACTTCTCTAATTATGAGACTATTTGGCCACTGTCAAGACATTTGCCCAATTATCTTGCAGTGAATTTGAACACAAGTGTCAAACACAGTTGACTATTCAGTTCATGTCATTTATCATTCCTTCTAAGGAATTCCATCATGCTATTCCTGCTATTCCTGACCAAAGAGTTTTTCAGTATAGTGGGCAGTCTCAACCTCAACATAAGCAATTTATGCCTATTCTTTATTTTTTCTTCCTCATTGATGATTAGGTGTCCTTATAATTAAAAAACATCAAACATATTCACTACCAGCTGAATTTTGTTAGATTAATTAAAACTCTTCTCAAATGATAGAATCTTAATTCCTCTGATCCTTCTCATAACCCTTTCCACACATCGTTTTTTGGGGGGGGTTTTTTTGGTAGGAAGATTAATTTAAACTGGTGGATGGAACTGCACATAATATTCCTGAATAGATCTTGCCAGGGCTACATTGCAACTACCCTTCCAGCTTCTGGAAACTCCACATATAGTCTGTGAAAGTCATATGCCTATGAAGTCTACGAAAGGTCATGCATTCTCTCTGCTTCATGATGGCTGCTAACAAGCCAGCTGTGGTTGCCTGCTTTTATTTGAAGGGTATTTTGGTGAGCTTTCTGCTTCTTTGATGATGTTACTGAAGTTTCCTGTAGCTAATGTTTACTTGACTGGAGGCACTCTGGCTAGGCCATACAGAATGAAAGCTTTTAGTCTCACCTCTGGGTATTAGGGATGGGACTTGTATATTCCAGTTACTTTTTGGAAGAGGTGGAGTATGTTGACAGTATACATAAGGCAACAGTGTCTGTCCTTTGCCCCAAATCTTTATCTGTTAGCACTGTAAAGAGCTTAGTCTTAATGAAGTTGTGGGAAATTTAGTTAGATCCACTCTAGACTGCAGCACCTTACACCTTTCAACAGGCAGCAGTGCTGACTTCAGCAACTCCTGTCCTGTCCCTCTGGCCACAGCTCCAACCTTTGAGCAGGCCTAAAATGTTTAGAGATGTTTTTGTTGTTGTTGTTGTTTGTTTTGGTTTTGTTTGGGTTTTTTTGGGGGGGGGGAGTTGGTTTTTTTTTTGTTTGGTTTGGTTTTTGGAGGTTTTTTTTTTTCAGTCCACATTAATTCCGTGCTCTATTTCAGTATTGCCTAACAATGGTTTGAACCAACAAAATGTGAACGAGTGTCTGGGAAAAGATACAGGACGGGGACTGGACCACGCAAAGCTCGCTTCACCACCCTGAGAAGTGTCTGTTGAGCCATTAACTTCAGTCATCACCACCCCTGAAGGGGCTGCAGAGCTGTATGAAAGACACTACGTGAGGGACATGCGAGGCTGCTTAAATGAAACCAAGTCCTTCATTGGGAACGTTTATATTTGGCTTAAGAGGTGTGAGCTGAAGAAACAGGCTTATGCTGAAACTCCTAATCCAGAGCAGGTATACTGAGTATTAAAATTTTCACAGTTATTTTCTACTCTTACCTTAATGGTGAAATAAGCAAAAATTATACTATCCTAAATTAAAACCATGTATGTCCCATAGGTTATGTAGAGCGAGAAGAAAACCTCAGTATTGTTTGAGTAGACGGACCTGCGAGTTCAGAGCTGCTGTACCGTAGCCTAGAACACCAAAACGAGAAAAAAAATCCCATTTGCAAACAAACGAAGCCTACTACAGATCAGGCAGTAATCGGACAACAAAATGGCTGTGGTTGTGGCTATAGGTGATCCACAAGAGCGCAGCTGGAAGTAGGGGAGCGGGGGAGCCCCAAGCCCGCACTCCGGGTCCGGTTCGCGGCCGCGCTGGGGCGCGGAGGGGCCGTGCCGCAGTTACCGAGAGCCCGTCCCAGGGACTTACTGCGGGGAGCTGCGAGACGCGGGGCGCGCAGCCCTGAGGCGCACACGGCCGGCGGCTGCGCCTTCCCGGCGGGGCTCCCGGGCCGCCGGCCCCGCTCCGCTCCGCCAGGCCGGGCCGGTGCCGGAGGGGCAGCGCGGGGGGTGCGCGGGTCCGGCGCCCCTCGGGGCGGGCGCGGGCCCGGTGCCGGCGGCGCGGGGCGCAGGCGCGGGGGGCGCGGGCATGCGCGCTGTGCGGCGGGGAGCCCGATCTGATAGGGAGCAGGGGCTGACACTACCCCCGTGTGGGCGGCGGAACGTCCCGAGGATGACGTGCGGCGTTCTCGAATCCCGTGTCTCGCTCGCTCGCTCGCCGCCGCCGCCGCCGAAGGAAACGGGAAAAGCAACAAGGAGGCAGGAGCAGGCGCGGCGCCATGGCGGCCCTGGAGCGGCCCGTGCCCAGTCCCGAGGCGTTCCTGGGCCAGCCCTGGGCCGCCTGGGTGCGGGAGGCCGCCCCCCCGCACGCGCACGGCGCCGCCCCCCCGCACAGTAAGGGCAGGGACCGGCCGCGGTCCGGCTCCGCACGCCGCTCCCCCCGGAGCGGGGCCGGGGTCCGGCCGGGCCGCCCCCCCCCTCCGCTCCCCTCCCTCCTCCCGCCGGGGCCGGGAGGTGCCGCCCCCCCGGGCGCTCAGCTGACGCTCGGCCGAGCCCCCGTGCCATGTGTGCGGGAGGCGCACGCCGCGCCGCGCCTGCCGTGCCGCTGCCCCGCGGCGCTGGGCCGGCGCCGCGGTGGGGGAAGGGGGCGAGGGGGAGGATGCGCGGAGGGGCCGGAGGATGCCGCGGGCGGGGAGGGGGGGGCGAGGGTGCTGCCGCGGGGGGCCCGGCGGTTCCGCTCCCTGGCAGATGCTCCGACCATTGTGCTTTTCCTGTTGCAAATAGAAACACTGCTCACCTCCTCACCTCTCCTCCTCCCCTCGCCAAACAATAAATGCACACCTCAGGGCCCTCGGTGCTTCCTGACTCTGCTTCTCTTCTGCAGGTGTAGATCTGGAAGAGACTGGAAAGGAGGGTGGAAAAAGCAGGGAGGTTATGAGGCTTAATAAAGAAGGTAAGTGGCTAGTGCTGGCACACCTCTCTACCTGTCTGTTTCTTGGTGGTTGTGAATGACTGTGGTTTGGCCTTGACAGGGTGGTCTGATAGCATATGGATTTCCCTGCTGTGAAGAACGTTTCAGGGTTGGATACATGCAGATGACTGTCACTGTGTCAACTTCTTTTGAAGTATGGGTATAACAGGTGTATACATGCAACTGACAGACATGGTAAAAGATAAGACAATTTTGAGGCAAAAGACAACTACACGTCAGTGGCCATATTGGATTTTTTTGTGGACCCTGTCCCTTGGTGCAACATTCCAGTTGCTTGAGTGAAGATAAGCATATAAACTTTAAACGTTATATTATTAGGAACTTAGTAGAGATGTTTTCCCTTGCAGTGAGAAAGGGTTTGTTACAATCTTTAAGTTCATTCACTTTAGCTCAAATCGCATTTTATTCTTCGTTTGCAGTGCTGAGTGCATCAACTGAGCAGCCAGCATCAAATATTATCTTAGGTTACACTAACCCATGCATATTATGCAAAAATAAATAAAATTAGTAATTTGGGCCATGAGTTCTTCTGGTACTGTCAGTGTGAGCAGGCAAATTCCAGGTTAGTGGTATTTGCCAATATGCCAGGCCTGTCAGAGCTCTGTCAGCTTCAAAAGGAGAAACATTTTGTTTGTGATGTGTGTCGTTAACATCATGCTGAGGTAACACCTAGTGCAACTAGTGAAATGGTTCAGGACGCTTTTTCGAGTAGCTTCATGTTTGTTTCTGTTCGTTAAGAAAGCGCTTTACGTACACAACCTCCCTGTCTTGGGAGATACTTCTTGGGAAGTCAGTTCATAATGAGCAATCCCATCACAGTTAAACTTTGGTGTGACTTACTCATGGTGAGAGAAATCCCGCTATTACCTGTAATGTCATAATATATATTCTGAAATTATGTTAAGTTTCTCATTACATTGCAGTTGTCATTACACATGCGTTCGATTTTGAGCATCTTGGCAGCTCAAAGGAATCTTATGTTTTCTAAACAAGCTCTTGAAAAAGGAATGAATTAATGAGTAATGTAGATTAGTGTGATAAACTATAAAATTGCATGGAGTATTCATGAAAGTTATTTAAAATACCATAAAACTTCCTTTTTGAAAGACCTTTACAGAGATGCCAAGCTTGATTGTGTTCCTATCTTGATTCTTACGTGCCTGAATCTCTCTATTTTTTCAGCCCAAAGATAAGTTAGCAGCAGAACTGTGATTTTCATGTAGTTATTTATAGGTAAAAGGTTCAAGGCTCTGTACATCTATCAGTAGTGTTGACTCAAAAATAATTAAACAATAATTTTACGACTTCAGCTGTGCCTTCATAAGGAGCTTAATTTGTTAAGATAAAATGTTTTGTGCACAGAAGTCCTTGAACACAAATTCATATTATAAGCTTGGGACATAAAGACTGAAGAGTCTCTACTACTCTACTATACATAATATGCAAATTAGAATCTTTCTGATTTCCTAGAAAGATTCAGTTTAAATTATCAGTTCTAGTCTTGTTTGGTTTTGGTGGGGGGGGACAGAGACTCCATCGAAGGAGCGCTATTTAAACTCACTATCCAGAAAAATTACTTCCAAACAAAGCATAATGTCATTGCTGACATTATGATCATGACAGGTGTGAAGCACTTACTGGCTTTTATAGTACTTATGTCATAATACCATGAAAAAAAACCCAAAATTGACTGTTATATTTAGAAAATAAAAAGCCTTAGGGATATTATTGCTTTCAAGTAGTAACTTGTGTTAGATCACTTTGAAAGAACTTCCATGAAGTTTGAATAAATTAGTATGTATTGAAACATTTCTACTATATTCACTTAGGCAGCCTGTTAATACAGGTGTTTTCACCACACCCATCTGTGTGTCTGAACACCCACTGTAAGTCTTGCTTGGGCCTCCCAGTCCTTATTAATAAAAGTGGAGAAAAATGTTGAGAGTTAGATTTGTCTGCAGGAAACATTTTTCATGTATTTGCAGAAATGCTTGTGCTTTTACTCTGACCTTGCTCATGTGTTGTGTGACATTTTTTTACCATTTGTTGCATTTTTTACCTGCTTTGTTCATAGATGAGGGTTGTGGTTATGTTAGGTCTGAATATAAAACCCAACTCCTTTTTTTTACAATCTTACCAGCTTGAGTAGACCTTTTTAATGGCATCTGTGATGCCAGGAGATTGTAAGTGGTTTCTTAGAAAAATCAAATGTTACTTGTAACCTACTTGTATCAAGTAACCAGGGGCGACAGACAGACAGGATTTTAAGTATCAAAAATTACTGTCCTGTTTGATAAAAGTAGTGTAAAACCTGATCTCTCTGCTCTTACTTCTCATATTTGTCTGCACATCATCTTTAGTTGATGTGACCAGGTTTATGCTGCCATTCCTTTGTGAGCAGTTTATCAGGAAGGCTCTTTAGGTGAATGAAACTGTGTGCAGAGCAGAGTGGGAGCTAAAGGGTGGGAATATGTTGGTCTTCAGACCATGACAAGGTCATGGTTTCATGTTGGTTTTGAAGGAAAACAATGCTGGCAGGTGGCAAAAAGTGCTTCCAGTTAGCTTGATCCCTGCTTCTCTGGCTCCTTTCTGGTTGTGTACCATGTGTGTTTAGAGTGGTGGGCTGCTCTTCTTCCTCACTTTGGCCTAGGAGGGGATGTGGAAGGCAGCATTTCCTGGAGGTGGGGGGTAGGAACACTGCCTGCCAAGTCTCTGCTGTCCCAGGGGGTTGTGTCCCTGGGAGGAGGGGTCACAGTCTGATTGTGCTCTTCATTTCTGTAATGCAAGAGATGCATTGAGGCCTTGTGCCCCATATTAAGGGTAAAAGTAGAGACAGAAGTATTGCTCACTGCTTTCCTTTATTCTGCAGTGTATATGTAGGTAGTATAGAGGGAGAGAAATTTCCTGAATGTTTGTTCAGTTTTCTAGACAGAATTGCTTTTTGCATGCTGACACTTAATTCTGAGTTTTCCTATAGCAAATGCAGTCTGTCCATAGTTGACTATTACTGGCGTGTGGATTTGTAGAGAGGGGATTACAAAGTTCCAAGTGCTCACAGAAAACGAGAAATTTTATACATACATGTTTGTGCCAGAAAAAAAAACCAAAAAACTTATCTGCTTGTCTAATCAGGAAACAGAAACAGTATTGTGTAACTTATCTGACAAATCACTACTAAGCAACCGACTTAGCTAAAAGAGAGGTTATCAGAATTAGAGCAGCATTTAGAATTTATGTTGAATTCTAAAAGGTTGAATGGCATATTTGAAGAATTGAAGATTTTCTTGCAGAGAGCAGGCATACTAAAAGAAGTCTGTATTTGAGAGTTTGTGTTCTGTAAAACACCACAGTTACTGTGTGCCTGAGTCAGGTAGTGTGTTCTGTTATTATCAGCCATAACCTGTAAATTATTATAAATTAATTTTGGAGGCTTGTATTTTACTTTATACAATATCTGACAAAATAATGGAATAATGGGATTATTTTGGTTTCATGTACAAAACTTGTATTAATAATTGGTTTAGTAATGTGCAAGCATTGAGTGTTTGCAGGTAGACACAGGCTGTAAAGGAGCAAAAGATATCCTGTGTATCTTTGTGAATTACAGCAGAGTTAAATATGACCTATGGAATTTAGGTCTATGTCTGGATACTTGGTTTCATAGTCAACTTCAGTTTCCCAGTTCAGTGCGTTTGTATTATTGAAGTTTAAAAATTCTGATTGTTTTGTTCCACCCCAAACTTGACCATTTTACTTTATGATTACACTTGCGAACTGGAGTTTTAAATGTATTGGATAATGGTTTACAATATATTTTTTCCCATTTTGACTTCCCACACAAATATCTGATGGAAAGTTTTTTGATAAATCCTTTGGCAACATAAAAACAAAATTAAAGGGATACTGATTCATTTTGCTTTCAGTATCTTTTTAATTCTTCATAAAAATATATTGATGATTTTATTATTCTTGTAAAAATAAGAAGTTAAGGAGGTTAGGTTGTGGTAGGGAGCACTTCTATGGGGGGAAAAGGGTGCGACATACAACATTCTACTTTATGAAAAGCAAGAGGAAGAGAACTAAAATTATTATAGGGAGA